ATTGTAAATTGTGCTGCTATGAACATCAGGGTGCAAAGGTTCTTTTGTATTGGTGTTTTAGTGTTCTTAGGATATAGTCTGAGGAGTGGAATTGCTGGGGCAAAAGGCATATCCATTTTCAGTTTTCTGAGGAAGTTCCATACTACTTTCCATAGTGGTTGTACCAGTCTGCAGTCCCACCAACAGTGCACTAGGGTCCCCTTTTCTCCACAACTTCTCCAACACTTGTTGTTTGTTGCTTTGTTTATGATGGCCATTCTGACTGGTGTGAAGTGGTATCTCATTGTGGTTTTAATTTGCTTCTATCTAATAGCTAGCGATATTGAACATTGTTTCATGTGTCTTTGGATCTTCTGTATGTCCTCTTTGGAGAAGTGTCTGTTCAAGTCCTTTGCCCATTTTTTAATTGGGTTGCTTGTCCTCTAAGAGTGGAGTTGTGTAAGTTCTTTATATATTTTGGAGATTAAACCCTTGTCTGAGGTATCATTGGCAAATATGTTTTCTCATATAGTTGGTTCTCTTTTTATTTTGATACTGTTTTCTTTAGCTGTGCAGAAGCTTTTTATTTTGATGAGGTCCCATTTGTTTATTCTTTCCTTTATGTCCCTTGCTCTAGGGGACATGTTTCTTATTTCTTAAATGATTGTTTAAAGATATCTATGATTGTAAGAGTTGGAAGTATTTTAAGAAAGAAAGGGTAATCAGTCGGCTGGTTACAGATTTGTTGTAAATTACTGCAGTGTAAAACAACATGGACAAGTGGATTTCATAAGCCTCTCAAACAAATTCAAGGTGTGAAAAGGACAAAAATGTTTAAAATAATCCTAATGAGTCAATGCCTTGTATTTATATGGAAGATATAATACCAATGTTGCACAAACTTAATGATATTGCGAGAACCTTTTTTATGAAGTCCAGGATTATTTTTATATCAAAAAATTACAAGAAAACTGAAAACCAGTAGCATGTGAACAGATTGCAAAAGTTCTTGCAAATATTAATGAGTCACCTCCAACAATATATAAAGACCAAGTGGCATTATTCCAGGAACACCATGTTGGCTTCGTATTTGAAAATCAATTGCTGTGAATAAACTAAAGGCAAGGATCCACTCTTTACAGGTCTAGTCAATATTGTATTGGAGTTTATAGCCATGTAATAAGGCAAAGAGAAAGAAATAAAAATATAGTTTGTAAAGAAAGTATAATTTTCTTTATTTACAGATGACACCATCTATATAGAAAATTCTAGAGATTGTATTTTTTAAAGCCTAGAACCATTGAATTTAACAAGTTTCCATGCTAAAGGTCAATATCCAAATATCAATATTTTTCTTTTTGAAATTTTTATTTTTAATATATTTTATTGATTATACTACTACAATTGTCCCAATACCCCCCTTTTTTCCCCTCCTCCCTCCACAACCCCTCCCACCAACATTGCCCCCCTTTAGTTCATGTCCACGGGTCATACATATAAGTTCTTTGGCTTCTACATTTCCTACATTATTCTTAACCTCTCCCTGACAATTTTCTACCTACCATCTATGCTACTTATTCCCTGTACCTTTTCCCCCTCTCTCCTCATCCCACTCCCCTACTGATAACCCTCCATGTGATTCTGTTCCTGTTCTAGTTGTTTCCTTGTTTTTGTTTTTATTTTAGGTGTGGTTGTTAATAACTCAAAGTTTGTTGTCATTTTACTGTTCATAGTTTTGATCTTCTTTTTCTTAGATAAACCCCTTTAACATTTCATATCATAATGGCTTGGTGATGCTGAACTCCTTTAACTTGACCTTATTTGGGAAGCACTTTATCTGCCCTTCCATTCTAAATGATAGCTTTGCTGGATAGAGCAATCTTGGAAGTAGGTCCTTGCCTTTCCTGACTTGGAATACTTCTTTCCAGCCCCTTCTTGCCTGTAAGGTCTCTTTTGAGAAATCAGCTGACAGTCTTATGGGAACTCCTTTGTAGGTAACTATCTCCTTCTCTCTTGCTGCTTCTAAGATTCTCTCCTTCATTTCAATCTTGGCTAATGTAATTATGGTGTGCCTTGGTGTGTTCCTCTTTGGGTCCAACTTCTTTGGAACTCTCTGAGCTTCCTGGACTTCCTGGAAGTCTATTTCCTTTGCCGGATTGGGGAAGTTCTCCTTTATTATTTGTTCAAATAAGTTTTCTACTTGTTGCTCTTCCTCTTCTCCATCTGGTACCCCTATGATTCAGATGTTGGAATATTTAAAGTTGTCCTGGAGGTTCCTCAGCCTCTCCTCATTTTTTTGAATTCTTGTTTCTTCATTCTGTTTTGGTTGAGTGCTTTTGTTTTTCCTTCTGGTCCACACCATTGATTGGAGACCCAGTTTCCTTCCTGTCACCGTTGGTTCCCTGTATATGTTCCTTTATTTCACTTAGCATAGCCTTCTTTTTTTTTTTTCATCAATTTGTGACCATATTCAACCAATTCTGTAAGCATCCTAATTACCAGTGTTTTGAACTGTGCATCTGATAGGTTAGCCAATAATATCTGTTTATCGCTTAGTTGTATTTTTTTTTGACCTTTGATCTATTCTTTCATTTGGGCCATTTTTTGTTGTTGTTGTTGTTGTTCTCAGCACTCCTGTTATGTAGTAAGGGGCGGGGCCTTAGGCATTCACCAGAGCAGGGCAACCCACGTGACTGTGTTTTGATGTTGTATGTGGGGGAGGGATCTGAGAGGGAACAATGGCACTTCCTCTGCTCTCTGCTGGTTTTCAGTCACTTCCGCTGCTACCCACAATCGAATTGGGCCCTTCTGATGCTGATTCCTGGGTGGGTGGGCTTGTGTACATTCTAGGACCCTGTGGGTCTCTCCAACGAGCTCTCCTGTGAGACTGGGAGTTTCTCCCAGTGCCACCTCAACCCCCACAGGTGTTTTCAATCAGTGGTTTGAGGCTTTATTACCCAGCACTGGAGGTCTGGGTTGCATGGTCTGTCTCTTTCCCCAGTTGTTCTTCCTGGTTTATCTGTGTGCAAATATGTGTCTGCTCAGTCTGCAATCTGCTACTTTGCCAGGTCTGCCAGCCACCACCTTACCATGAGTCTATCTGCCCTGGCTGCCTGTCTCCACCCCTCCTACTAGTCTGGATGAATGTTTTCTTTAACTCCTTGATTGTCAGACTTACAAAAAGTTCAATTTTCTGTCAGTTCTGGTTGTTGTTTTTTGTTTTTAAATTGTTATTGTCCTTCTTTTGGTTGTGCAAGGAGGCACAGTGTGTCTACCCATGCCTCCATCTTTGCCGGAAGTACCAAATATCAATAATATTTCTATGTATTAGTGTTAAAGTGTCTTGGCTAGGCCCAGGATGGAGTTGCTTATGCTAAGCCCCATGTCTGCAAACAGAAGTTTATCTAAGCTTCTATGCTCAGCTATCCCAGAAAATGTAGGCCTAGGCTAACCTATCATCAATTGTCTGCTTAGTACAAGTTATCGAACCCAACTCCAACACTTCCCTTTGCACCATATAAGGAAAGTAACCCTGTTTAAACCAATTAGTAATGCTCAGTTAACTTTCTTGTTCCTGCTCACCTTTATCTATGAAACACTCTCATTTTGTGCAACTCTTGGAAGCTGCTTTCTGTTTTCTACACTTGATGCTTTTCAATTCACAAATTTCTAAATAAAAGCCATTTGGGTCAGGAAATTAAGGTCTGAAATTTTCTTTTGAATGGATTGAAATTGAAATTTAGCATAAAATAGTTGGGCATAATTTTTTTAAAGATTTTATTTATTTTTAGAAATAGGGGAAGGGAGGGAGAAAGAGAGGGAGAGAAATGTCCATCAGTTGCCTCTTGTGAGTCCCCAACTGGGGACCTGGCCCACAACCTAGACACATGCCCTGACCAAGAATCGAACTAGTGACCTTTCAGCTTGCAGGTTGGTGCTCAACCCACTTAGCCACACCAGTGAGGGCTAGTTGGGCATAATTTTAATAAAATATATGAAATACCTCTTCACTAAAATTTACAAATATTACTGAAAAACCAAAGGCTTAAATATATGGGACGATGTACCACGTTCGTGGATTAGGATACTAATTAAGGTCACTTTTCCCCTAAATTCATATATAGAATCAATGCAATCCAATCCATTTCCAGCACAGTTTGTTTGTTTGTTTTAAGAACTTGACAGTCTGATTGTACGGTTTGTATGGAAATGCAAAGGACTAAAATAAGATAAAATTATTTTGAAATAAAAGAAAAGTTGGGAAGACTTGGGCTAAATCGACAGTAACAAATAAAAGATGGAATTGCTATAAATATATGACACAAACATCAGTGGACCAGGATAAAGAACCCAGAAGTAGATTCTGGTCTATTAGGATTACAGACAGATTTTTAAAGATATAGTGTGATGACAGGTAGCAGCAGAGAGTGCTTAGACTTGGAGGGCGGGATAGACTCTGTTCCTTGACCAACTGTCATCTCCAGGCCCCCATTCCTCCCACTGTGGAAGCTGAAAGACAGATTTTCGTTTTCTACCTTCTTTAGCGAAGGGCGCCCACTGACCCAGTTTTGTTCAAGGATGTGTAAGTTGACTAGGGCGGGGGCTTCTAGTAAGCCTGTTGCTTTCCCAATAAAAAGAAAATTTGCTATACTGCCCAATTACCTTTTTTTTTTTTGCTCCTTTTCCTTTTTTAGTGGAAAAGGATTTCTGCCTGACATGAATGCCCAAATAAAAGATACTTCAAAACAACAAGCTAAAGATTTTTTTTGCACCTAAGTATAATATCTTTATTTAAGTGTAATTTTTAGAATATTATAATTTCTCAGAATACCAGAAATAATTTCTACATTTTCTGTTACCACTGTATTCAGCACAATGTTTTATTTCTGTTTAATTTTTACTTGAGTAGACTCTGTGCCAAGGATAAAAGCCATTCCAGTCAGAATAAACTGTCTCTTGATTATAACTGATGGATTCAGGGTGTGAAGGGCTATAGCTCACAAAATAAAAGAGGATTTAATTTATATTCCATACGTGGAATCAGGTGTTAGTCTAGTAACATTTGGTTTTTCATAAGAATTATTTTCTGATATTCCCATGTTCTCTGATATAGCTGCATAGTCATATTTTCTTTTCTGTTCTTGTTCCAACCTGAAACCTAGAGAAAAATGACAAATGTTTACAAAGATGCCAGATGTGTTAAGATATAGACTCATTCAATATGCCAGGTTCTACATTCCTTTTTACCACTCTTAGAGCAGCTGTCTGTATATCCTATTTAACTGAAGCCATAACTATCCAAAATTTCTTAATTCATTCTACTCACCATATTTTGTCGTCCACCTCTACAAAAGGCTCCGAGGAACTTGGGTTTCAAGTTTGATCTATTACTAATTAGCTGTGCAATTTGGAGTGTTACTTACCTTCCAAGTCTCAGTGTCTTCAGTGAGAATTAAGTGTACTGGTATATATGAAAAGGACTTAGCATTTAGTTTGGCATTTAGTTAGAAGCCTGTTCTCTGTAGAGCTAAAGTTTCCAAATGTCAATCAGATTTTGTGCTTTTTGAAGAGGTGACACACATTCTCTCTTCGGCGCCAGCACCTTCAGTGTATCACCTTCCACCTTCAGCTATAATGCAAACCCTACTTAACTTGCTCTTGTGCTCCTTTGAGTTATCACGCTATATCTTTCCATCATTTTGCAATACAAGCAGACTTCGTTTTCTCACACTTCACTTTACTGTGCTTCACAGATGTTGCTTTTTTTTTTTTTTACAAATGGAAGTCAAAACTACCCACCGGCAAAAAGATTATGACTCACTTTATTGCAATACTTTATTGAGGTGGTTGGGAATTAAACTTGCTATATCTCTAAGGTATAGGCCTGTTATCTCTTTTAACTCAGTATTTTATATCCTATGCTTCCATCTTTGTACCTGTCATTCCTTTATATTGTTTTACCTGTCGTTGCAAACTTAATATATGCTACACATTGGGGATATGGTAGTGAACAGGACAGACAACTCCCTGCTCTTAAGTGGAGATAGTTACCTAAAACTGTTCTGAAGAATGCTATCAACTCCAGTGAGCCCTCAAGTTGAATATGCAGAGTATTTGAAGAACAGGTAAGAGTTCAGTGATGGTGGGGTTGTGAGTGATGGGGAGAGTAGACATGATAAGGGTGGAAAGCCGTCCTGAAGTCAAGATTTTATTCCAGGCACAGTGGAAAACTTTGAGAGGCAGCAGAACCAGTCATTGTTAAGCACATAGGTTCTGGAGCCAGCCTGACTCCATTCAAATCTTGGACCTCACAGTAAGTTCCTGTGAGACCTTGAGCAAGTAACCCAACTCTTTGTTTGCTCATTTGTAAAATGCAGATAATAGAACCTGACTCAAATGAGTTACTATTTATTATAAAGCACTTAAGATATCACTTCTGCATGGTGCTTGCTAAAGAGTTTAAGTGTTCTAATTGCATTGATTTAAATTAGGAAAAGATCACTATGTATAGTGTGGGGAATGGGCTGGAGGAGCATCAGTTTGGAGGCTGTGGCAGCTTGGACTATGGTAGCAAGGAGCTGGACCTAAGTGGATAGGTTCTGGCTAGTGATAATTAACATTTATAGAGTATGAATTATGTACCAGGGACTAGCCTAAGCCCTTTACACATTTTACCTCTTAGTACTTCACCACAACCTAGGAGCTTGGTACTATTGTTATTCTCACTTTACAGAGGAAGACACTGAGCTAGTAACTTGCCCAAGATCACACAGCCAGTAAATAGTAGAGCCAAAAATCAAAACCAGGCAGTCTGAATCTACACTCTGCAATGTAATCTCTCTGCTTTACTGCCTCTCACAGATGACGGCAGGACAGAACTCATACACTCAGATTATACACTCGCCATAATTAGACTCTGGCTATGTTAGAATTACTGATATTTCTGGGATACAATGATCTGCTTCTTTAACATGCCATCATTTTCAGTTTCTCAGTATGTGGGTCATGGAAGGGACAACAGTGGCATAGAACTTTGAAAATATTTTTAACATTTTGAGGCATTTTTGTAGCCAAGTGAAGTTTGCTCATTAAAAATTATTACTGAAACCATAAGATGCAACTTTTAAAGAAAAGGATTATTAATTTTTTTTAAATTGAACCCTATATAAAATAAAAAATTCTATTTCCAAATACAGTCTTACCTATAAGGCAGAGATTTTCAACCTTTTTCATCTAATGGCACACAAACTAATTACTAAAATTCTGAGGCACATTAAAAATATATTTTTTGCTGATCTGATGAAAAATAGGTATAATTTGTTTTCATTCATACTGGACAACTGTTGTGTTGGCTGTTGTCATTTTTTTATTTGACAGTCTAAGGGAAAAGAGATCCGTGCCCCTGACTGAATAGTCAGGTATCGCATGTTTTAAAACTTCTTGTGGCACATCGGTTGAAATCGCTGCTATAAGGTAAGACTGCTCTGGCAAATTTATCTGTCTATATAGTTTGCAGGGTACTGAAATGTTAGGTGCTAAGAAATGTGTACATGTGTAGAAATGTATCATATTTGTTCACAGGAATTCCCCAAAAAGTATTGCTAAAAATCACCTACTTTTGAAGTTAGCTGAAGAGTTGCTTGTAGCAATTTCCTTCCAGTTGGCAATATACCTAAGCACATTATATAGACACTCATTAAATTAAATTAAACTGGTTTGTTAGTATGTAATGAATTAATTCATTAGTGCATGATTAGGCTACTTCTACAATTCCACTTTATGAAATCTTACATTGATGGCAACAAATTCTCTAGTCCAAATGTCTAATTTTCATGACTTCTGTGTTGCTCTCATGCTTCCGAGGCAAACCCCAGGACAAGGAGTTCGAGGATGTATAAAAATCATGTTCACTTCTACCATGGTAGTGCCCTTTGGTCTTCCTCAGCACACCTTTTCTCATCTTATCCTGTTCTGTTCCTTCCAGATCATGTCCTCAGTTGAATGCCTACTAAGATGTTAGTTAACTTCTAAATTAAAAGTATGGACAGAAAACTCAGAGGAAAAAAGGGGCAAACAATTATGATAAACCTTCTCCTTGGTTCCAGATTGCCACACCTACTGTCTCTGACATGTTAACAGAAATTTAAAGCATGTGGTTTATGATCTTAGAGCTATGGTGCTACCTTTGCAGAGTACAGTCAACATGAGAGATTGCATCCAAGTAGGACAAATGCAGCTTCCACCTCAGTTTCCCAAACAGAGACTGAAATAGGGACACCAGGGTAGCCTGAGAAGAGGTAGAATAATAGGGAAGAGCAAGGTGTGATGAGCTATGAAGATGAGGGGATGCTCCAAGAGGCAGGATTCCTGTAACTTATTCCATTTCATTTTAGTCTCTGTGTCCTCTTTCCCAAGCCTCGCTTCTTCCAACTGCACCCAAGAAGTCAGGTAAGGAATTGGTCACAGCAGGTGCTGAAAGGGAGCTGAGGAGGATTAGAATTGTCGTGTAAAAAATTATTTTCCAAGTATTCATTTATTTCATTGAATTACTGTGGTTAACTTAGTGTTCCTGAAGGGTTTTTTTGTTTGTTTGATTGGTTGATTGGTTTAGGAAGGCATATGTTATCCAACAATATTTAAATATTTAAAGTACTGTGTCTATAGTTAGGTTTTTTTGTTACTCCTACTTCTTTTTATTCCAAAAACTTTATCCTATGACCTTGAATAAGATATTGCTGGGTCACTGTTAAAAGATGCAGGATAAGAGCAGGCAATGTAAACCCCTCCCCAGGATCTCTCAGTAGACAGTGCAGTCTGGACTGATTGTAAATTTAGGCAGACTTTCAGTGGTTGTTCAGGATCACTATGAAGAGCTGCGTGTCTATCGTCCTGCTTCCTTGGATCTATATACTCAAAGGTTTGCATTCCACCTTCAAGAACACCTTGATTTATTTACTGATTTACATATTTGATTTACATACTGAAAGGTTTTCATTCTACTTTCAAGGCCACCTGACAGTCTGGAGTATAAACATATACCATATTTAATTAAGGCTGACCACTGACCCAGCTTTACCTAATACCAGGACAATTATTTTAAAAGAACTTCTCATAAAAGACATGCCAACAGCAACTGATAAAAATATCTAAGTTTTACAAATAGAAGAAAGAGTCTGATAGCATTACTATACTGCTCATGGCATAGAACTAATTTGTCTTTCTCACTAAGAAGTTTTTGTGATTTTAAGATAATAACTGCAGAATAGTATATATGGGAAATCTATAATAAATTCCTCAGGATTACAAGTGTAACATTTTGATCATCTGAGAAAGTGCCTAGCCTGAGGAGCCACTTAACTACGTGTCCTAGAAATCAAAGGAACAGCTTCAGATATAGAAACTACACCACCATCACCACCCCCCCCCCACCGCCACACACACACAGGCAAAGATCTCATAGCAATACAAATAATAGAATATTAGGAAATTATTTAAGATATCCCAGCTGCTGATCACTTAACAAGTTATTTCAAAATGCACTTGCAGTTTGAAAATTACGAAGATTTGGTAAGAGGAACAACTTACAGAGAATATGCCCCTAAAAATCCAACAATATCAATGACAGTAGTGGTCACACGGCATTGTGGGTGACTCAGTGACGGTGATGTGGAGGTGCTTTATATTCGAAGTTCCTACAGCAATGTATCTCTCAGTACTGCAGAATTTATGACAGTATTCATCAGTGTCCTGGAGGCCAAGAGTGAAGTTGGCTCTATCCATTCTTCAAAATAATAATATTGTATTCAGTTGATAGAGGATGCACATGGCTTCTCCCCAGGAGAACAGCCAACTGTCCTGACAAGGGACTAGCACAAAAGCTGTTGGGGGAAGACCTGGTTTGTATCAGTGTCAACACATTAATGCCATTCTGTTGGTCTGACTATTGAAAACTGTCCACAGATTTTGAAGGATACTCTGCAAAGAATTAGTGACCACCAATTCTTATGAAGAAAAATGTCAGACTCCAAAATTCTCATCAAACAAGGTGGCATCAATCCAGTTACAAACATCTACCGGAAACACTGTGGAAACCACAAATGCACCGGGTAGAAGGTGCTTGCTTGTACCTAATGTCTGCAGTCAGCCTGGGAAGACCTTTGCAAAGTTTAATCTTACCTGAGATAATCAGTAGCTTGGGATTAGTAATGCTACTAAAATATTTCCAAATAATCATGCTGGATTCTATTTCAAATTTTTGTTATCCAGGGCCTAAGTGAGAGAATAAACTGATAGATATTGTACATAATTTGGAAGCATGAGGTATCTCTACTTTAAAAAGTGGAAATTGTCCGTTAATCCTACCAGGTCAAGCCTGGGTGCATCCATCCCACCCCATATAAGTATATGCTACAAAAACCACTTCAGGTCTTACTGGTTTATTGTTTTTATCCTTTCTTCCACAGATTTAATCCCCTAACAGAGAAGAGTATGGTGGATGACAGTGGACTGAGATGTCTGTTTATTTCCTCCCTTTGAACTGAATTGTATTGTTCTTTTTGTATCCCAGTAGTGATGAAATACAGAATGTTGGGTATCAATTTTTGGTTAATCTTTCATGAAAGTGTGTTGGTCCTTTGCTTGAATTAGCCAACTGTATAAGGATTTCAAAAGCTCACTTGAGAAAATTCTCTATCCTGCTCTCAGAAGCTCATTCAAAATGAACCTCACCAACCTCTCTCTTTTTTTCCTCCATTCTTTACCCAGCGATTTTTACTCTTGGGGAAAAAAGTAGAAGTACAGCACTACATAAAGTATATAATTTTCTAACTGCTAATCTGCGTACCTGAAACTAATGCAAAATACTGAATGTAAAAAAATATACTTGTAATTTTTAAAAAGGTACTGCATTACAGTACGTTTCTTTGAATGTCATTTCCTTCATCATTATTACTATCTGTATTTATTCAGTGTCCCCCAAATCACAGACATTCTCTCTATAGAGAATTGAAATACTAAGGTAAGGACAAGATATTGGGTTAAAGAATCTTAATCTCTGTTTGTTTGTTTGTTTGCTTGTTTTTAGAGAGGGAAGGGAGGGAGAGAGAGAGAAAGAAACATCAATGTGCAGTTGCTGGGGGTCATGGCCTGCAACCCAGGCATGTACCCTGACTGGGAATCGAACTTGCAACACTGATTTGCAGCCCGCGCTCAGTCCACTGAGCTACGCCAGCCAGGGCTTTAACAATCTCTCTCTTTTTTTTTTAATTATAGTTTATTTTTTTATTTTTATTTATTTATTTTTAGAGAGGGAAGGGAGGGAGAAAGAGAGGGAGAGAGACATCAATATGCAGTTGCTGGGGGCTGTGGCCTACAACCCAGGCATGTGCCCTGACTGGGAATCGAACCTGCGACACTTTGGTTCACATCCCGCGCTCAACCCACTGAGCTATGCCAGCCAGGTAACAATCTCTTTTTACCATTTACTTATTACAGAATATTTTAGAACATCTATCTACAATGCATAACTAGTTATTTCTTTTTGTCTTTCCCTTTTTATTTTCTAATATAGCTTTCCCACCAATATCTTATTTTTTCTTGTTTTTCTTCTTTTAGTGATTCTTTTTCTTGTCTTTTCTCATTATTCTCTTCTTTGATTCCCCTTGGGTGACCTTCTTCCTGTTCTATTTTTCAATGACATGTTGATTTTTCCTATCCCATATTCTTATCTCTCTTCCTGATTTCTTCCTTTTTCTTATGTTTCTTTACTTAACACTTTCTTCATTTTAATTTTTCTGCTGTTTCATCCACACAATAGTCACATTCATTATTGTAGCTGGTAAATATTCAATATATTTAAAAGCTGTTTGAGATATAATTCACATACCATACCATCCACCCATTTAAAGTGTATAATTCAGTGACTTTTTGTGTACTCACAGAGTTGTGCATCCATCATCATGATCGATTTTAGAACATTTTTATTTCTCAAAAAACCCCAACTGTACCCCTTAGCTTTACCTCCCAACCCTCATAAGTCTTCCAGTCCTAGGCAACCACTAATCTACTTCCTGTCTCTATAGATTTCCCTATTCTGGACATTTCATATCAATGGAATCATAATGCATGGTCTTTTTTTTTATTGGGTTCTTTCAGTTAGTAGAATCATCAATATTGTAACATGCATCAGCATTATTTCTTTATTTCAGAATAATATTCCGTTGTATAAATATTATATATTTTTATTTATCCATTCATCAGTTGATAAATATTGGGGTTATTTCTACTTTTTGGTTATATTATGAATAATGCTGCTATGAACATTTATGTACAAGTTTTTGCATGGACGTGTGTTTTCATTTCTCTTGTGTATCTATACTGAGGAATGGAATTGTTCAATCATATGCCAACTTCATGTTTAACTATTTGAGAAACTGCCAAATTATTTTTGAAAATGGCTGCACCATTGTACATTTCCACTGACAGTATATAACGGTTCCAATTCTTCTACTTCCTTGTCTTCTTAATTATAGCCGTCTTAGTTTGTCTGAAGTCAAATCTCATTATGGTTTTAACTTGGATTTCCCTGATTGTTATATTAAATATTTTAAAATTCCCATCACACACACAAAAAAATTCTAAAAATGTTTTCCAAGGGCTGTAATATGCCACTACAAATTATAACTTTTTAATGTCTCATGTGGGAAGATCAAGGTCTGTAAGTTAACAAAATTCTTTGTATTATTGATTTCATGTTCCCAGCCTTATTTCTAAATCCCAAAGTAAGAAATAAAGCAAATTTAGACTAAGGCATAAGTATGAAGTCTGACAATAAAGAACACCTCTCCAATTTTCTTTTTTCTACTTTTAGATCATCCCTCTTACATCTTTCTCCCTCATTTTCTCTTCTTTCTTTCTAGACAAGTATAAATACTTGTTTTGTGGGGAGGGGTGGAGATTATGTTTGTGACTCCTACATTCAATACGGGAATGAGAAATATTAGAAAGAAAAATATGATGCCAGCCCGTGTTCCCAAGAACAGCAAAATGTATTTACTCATCAAAGTTCAGTGTATTTGTCCAGTTCAGCACTTCATCCACTTCCCATTCCATCACAGAATCTATCCCACCATCTTCGATAGATCTGATTAGCCCTTTTGTTGCTGTGTGAATTAAACCTAGAGTTTCACTATTTGTTGACTTAGCTGCCAGGCTTCCTGCATAGTACCTAAATAGAGGAAAGAAAGAAAGACATAAATCCTCTGGAAAATGTGATTACTAGTAGATGCAGTTAATATATATTGTTGTTATAATGCTATTCAAATATAAAGCAAGTTTTTATCCTATTTAACACAAATACCTCTAAGCCAAGTTATATTCGATCGGATCTTTTGGAAAAAACAAAGCAGCATAATCAAGCACAGAGAGAAGCCTCATTTCAAGAGTCCTGCTCAGCAAGTTGGATTTTTATGATACAAAGAAAAACTAAATTATATCACCAAATCATAGAATTACAGAATCAAAGGGCCTCAAAGACCAAATTACTAGCCCACTTGTTTTATAGATAAGGAAATGCTGGAAGAGTTGAATAACTTTTCGAAGGCCATGTGGCTGATGACAAATACGAAGAAAGAAGGAAAGAGAAAGAGAGGAAAAGATGAAAGGAAGAAAGATACTGACATTTTTTGTGTGTCAGGCACTTTTCATACATCATTTTAATTGTCTTTAAAAGGACACAGCCATTTGTGACAACTCTTTATTCCCATTTTATGGATGAGGAAATTGAGACTTAGAGAAATTAAGAAATTGTTCGAGATCATGAATGCAGTAAATATATATCAGCCAGTATTAAAATCTGACTGTAAGCACAGACTTCTGTAGCACTGTTCTTTTACATTTGTCTGAGCACATAAATTAACACATCCACCAAACATAAGCCAAGTGAGTAGACAGAAGTGGTGCTTACCAAGAATATTAAAATACAGCATTCTTTGTTTTTTTATTTTAAGATCTACATTGGTGTTCTATTTTAAAGGTTAACGTATTCTGACCCTGTATTTAATCTGACACTCATTTATTAGGAAGTGGCATGGTGGAAGTGTACAGCTAGAATTTGGTATTGAACTGTCTGACTTTGAATCTTGCTTCTGTGATTTATTAGCTGTATAACTTTTGGCAAATGATCTAGCCTTTCTGGGACTTAGTGTCCTCTTCCTTAAAATGATAATCATTACACTACCTCCTGCTAGCATCCTTAAGAGGTTTAGAAGTATAATACAATTAAAGCATTTAAAACTACTGGCACATAGTAAACATTCAATGAAAGAAAGCTTCCATAATCCTGGATGGCAAAAGATGTGACAGTGACAAGATGTATCCCTGCCCTTATCAAGTTTCTGCTTGGTCAGACTTTAAATGGATAATGATCTATGTGAGCTAGTGAATTGTATAGAAGCAGGAACATGCCTCTTGATTTCTATTGCTTAGTAAGTGCACAAATTATAAGAAAGTATGATTTCACAATTTTTTTTTCTCAGTTCAGGTTTAATAGAAACTACACAAAAGGTGTTGCCCCATTACTGTACATGTCAGTTGGCCTGCTCCATAAGTTCAGGCCATTTCCTCCAGAAAAAGAAAGGCTGCCCTCCCCAAACCCTGCAAGAAAGGCCTGTTTTGTCTCACACCACATATGGCCTAAATCTAAGATCTTGTGTTTTAAGCATGGCAATAATAAAAGAGAAGTTTTGTTCTCATGGCCATATACTGCCGCCATGACCCTATAATGGCCCGATGCTCACTTCTGCTTAGAGAAATATTGTTCGCTTCCTGGACATCACTTGATGGCATCACTGCCAGGTTTCCAGTCACCTGGGCACACTTCCCCATGTTTGTCAGTGAACTGGAAAGCCTGAACTAGTCTCAGAGTTTCATCCAAAGAGTTGGTGAACAGGAAGGTCGTTTATGGTGATCTGTGGAAGGATACCTTTTTCGTCAATGATAAAGAGGCCCCTGAATGAGATGCCCTCATCAGCCTTTAAGACCCCATAGTCTGAGCAATGGTGCGCTTGGGGTCTGACACCAAGGGAATGTTCATGGATCCCAGTCCTCCTTGTTTCCTGGGTGTGTTGATCCAGGCCAGGTGACAGAAGTGAGAATCCACAGAAACACCAATCACTTGGCAGTTGAGTTTCTTAAATTCTGCCCTATCACTGAAAGCAATGATGTCCATGGGGCAAACAAAGGTAAAGTCAAGAGGGTAAAAGAAGAACACCACCTATTTTCCTCTGTAGTCAGATAGGCTGGTATCTTTGAACTGACCATCTAGTGTAACAGGTGTAGCTTTGAAGTTGGGGGCAGGGTGCCCAATGTTAGCATTTCCTGAAGACATGTTGCTATCAGTGGCTCTGAGACACAAATACCAAAAGAAGCAGGTCAGGAAGAAGAATCATGAAGCGCCTGCTTTTACAATTTTTCTAGAGTTCTTCATTTACTTATTCATTTAATAAACATTTACTTCAGTGTCCAACATTTGCAAAGCAATCTGTACAGTGGTGAAATGCCTTCCTGGAACTTGCAGTCTTCCACTTCCATACTCTCCTCCCTAAACAACAGGCACTTAGCAGACATGTACTAAATAAAAAAAGACATAAATGATGGTACCCTTTGGCCCAGAATTATTAACTAATGCTCATGCTACAACAAAAATGCATTTAGAAATCAGAAACTTCTGAAAGGCTGAGGTTGAATGTATTTTTTATGAGTTCCTCCATGTTTACCTTCCCAAAGATACATACACTTAAGATTAGATTTTGGAACTGGGGTGATACTCATTTTTCCTTTTACAGCACTGATATACAACAATTCATATATCTACTTTTTGTTCTCAGACTTTATTTATTTTTGAAATTTAATCTTTGTTGTATTATTTTTTACATTACCTTTTAGTCCCCTTATGTTCTCCGGGTCCGTAAGTCCTTTTTCCTTTTAGCTTGGTCCCTCCACCCTCTACCTCCCCCTGCCCCTACTGTCGTCCTGCTCTCCATCTATGAGTCTGTCCCCATTTTCCTTGTTTGAGTGACTTCTTTTTCTTTCCCTGGATTTAAAAAGTCCTCATTGGGAAATGTTTTGCTGATGTGTAGAGGTGAAACAAAAAATGGCAGAAACACAAAAGGACATCAAAATTGATAAGTTCAAAAACTGATTTGAACAGTGGAAAAAATGTCTCGATAGGTTTACTACATCCAATGGAGAGTACTTTGAAGGTAACTAAAGTTTAAACATGTAAGAATAAATACACAATTTTGTAATAAATAAATTCCATGCTTAGGGTTCCCCCTCATACTTATACACCTGTAAATCTATGACTACAATAAAAAATGAACACATCACCCCCCCAAAAAAAGTTCCCTGTGTGCCTTAGTAATCCTTCTCTCCCTCCTCCCTCCCACCCTTATCTCCAGACAACCACTGATCTGCTTTATGTCACTCCAGATTTCTTTGTATTTTCTAGAAATGTGTGTAAATGAAATCATACCATGTGTTCTCTTTTTTGACTGGCTTTATTAATTCAGCACCATTATTTTGAGATTCATCCATTGTTGCTGTGAGTGCCAATAGTTTATTCCTTTGTACTATGAGTAGTATTCCTTTGTGCAGGTACATCACATTTATTTATCCAGCGACATTTGGGTTGTTTCTGGTATTTGGCTACTTCAAATAAAGTTGTTATAAACATTCATACACAGTCTTTCTGTGGGCATATGGTTTATTTCTCTTGGATAAATACCTAAGAGTGAAATGGCTGAGGTAAATGGTAGGTATATCTTACCATTTAACTTGTAAGATAATACTAGCTTGTAAGAAAACTGCCAAACTTTTCCAAAGTGGATGTACCATTTCCATTTGCTCTATATGTGTGCAGACAATTTCTGCCATTCTGGTGGTAATGTAATATCTCATTATAGTTTTGGCTTGCACTTTCCTAATGACTAATGATGATAGTTATTATTTCACTTGTGCTTATTTGCTATCCATATGACTTCATTGTCAGAGTGTTTGTTTAAATCTTTGCCATTTTAAAATTAGGTTGTATTCTTATTATTGAGTTTTGAGTTTAAAAAATATTCTAGATACAAGTATTTTACCATATATGTTTTGCAAATGTTTTCTTCCTGCCTGTGGCTTGTTTTTATTTTTATGTATTTTTTCACATTTGCATTTTTTTTTGTGATGTATCTCCTCAGGCAAGGGAAACAAAAGAAAAAAATAAACAAACAAGACTATATCAACCTAAAAAGTTTTTGTAGAGCAAAGGAAATCATCAAGAAAATAAAAAGACAACCCATAGAATGGGAGAACATTTGCTGATACATCTCATAAGGGGATAACATCCAAAATTTACAAGGAACTTACAAATTCAACACCAAATAAAGCCAACAACCCAATTAAAAAATGGGCAAAGGACCTGAGTAGACAATTCTCCAAAGAGGACCTACAAATGGCCAATACACATATGAAAAGATGTTCAGTGTCACTAATCATCAGAGAATTGCACATTAAAACCACAATGAGATACCATCTCACACCTGTAAGAATGGCTATCATCAATATACAACAAACAACAAGTGCTGGCAAGGATGTGGGGAAAGGGGAACACTTTTGCACTGTTGGTGGGAATGCAGATTGGTACAGCCACTGTGGAAATCAGTATGGAGATACCTCAAAAAATTAAAAATAGATCTGCCTTTTGACACAGTGATCCCAATTCTGGGAATATATCTGAAGGAACCCCAAACAGTAATTTGAAAGAACATAAGCACCCCTATGTTCATTTCAGTGTTATTTACAATTGCCAGGATATGGAAGCAGCTCAAGTGTCCATCAGTAGATGAGTAGATAAAACAACTATGGGACATTTACACAATAGAATACTATTTGGCCATAAAAAAGAGAAAATTTTACCCTTTGTCACAATATGGATGGACCTCAAGAACATTATGCTAAGCGAAATAAGCCAGTCAGAGAAAGACAAATACTAAGTGATCTCACTCCTATGTGAAATCTAATGAACAAAGTAAACTAACAAGCAAAACAGAGACAGGCTCATAGAGAGCAGGATGACAGCTAAGGGAGGAGGGAGGTTAAGGGATGGAGGGATTGAGAAAAAAGAAAACAGGATTCATGGACATGGACAAGAGTGGGGTGATTGTTGGGGGTGGGGTGCATAAG